GTAGTAGTAGTAGTAGTAGTAGTAGTAGCAGTGGTAGTAGTAGTAGTACTACTACTACTACTACTACTACTACTACTACTAGGAGTAGGAGTAGGAGTAGGAGTAGGAGTAGGAGTAGGAGTGGGAGTAGCAGTGGCAGTGGCAGTGGCAGTGGCAGTGGCAGGGGCAGGGGCAGGGGCAGCGGCAGCAGCAGCAGCAGCAGTCGTCGTCGTCGTCGTCGTATAGTAGTAGTAGTAGTAGTAGTAGTAGTAGTAGTAGTTCTTGTTGTTGTTGTCGTGGTAGTAGTAGCAGCAGCAGCAGCAGGAGGTGCAGCAGGCAGCAGTAGAAGTGGTGTGTACGAAGTAAGTAGTCTTACTCGAATTTGCCTTGTTATCATAGCGGCGCGAGTGGTAGGAGTAGTGATGTTTCGTACAAATTTTTCAGAGCAATCGTAGTAGAAGTGATCGTGGTGGTTGTAGCGGTTGTGGTAGCGGTAGCAGTACCTGGTAGAAGCAGCCAAAGGAGCATGGAAATGGCAGTTCCGGTCTGTCAGCCGAGCGGCAGTGGCCCCCATAGAATGCCTGAGTAATACCTCGGCTCGAGACTTCATCCAAGAAGTAAGGAACAACGCAGGTGTCTGTCCTGATCCGCCCACACGTTATGCTGCAGCACATTAGACGACGAGATACCAGCAGCGCCAACAACAGGTGGATGTAGTTAAGCATGACCCACACATGCCCCAGACAGCACCAGCCAGTGCATGCCGGCAAAAGACAAATCCTGCACCAACAACCAGAACCTGAAATCCAGAGGCGCCCAAAACTCCGGCCCCCCAGACACACAACACCCAGCAACGCTGGACAAACCCATACCTACGGCCCAATGATCAGCCCTGCATCATGAACCCATGACCCCTACATTGGCCACATCGCAGACCCAATCTGGTTGAGGGCTTAAGTTGAAGGGCTTACAAGAGTTAAAGACAAGCTCTACCGAAAGCCCCACCCTACCCTACACCCTAGCTTAAAGCTCTAATTACTCAGGGCCGTATTGCTGGGAGCCCTGGCATAGCACGGGGGAGTGAGAGGGCACCCGCTCCGAGGGCTGCGGCAGCAATGTTCACGATGCCTCGATGTACAAAGAGGGTTCCATAAAGTCACTACACATGGTTGCTATAAGGGCTTCTACAGGGGTTGCGTTGTGGAGCTATTTTATAAGAGTCTTGGAATGTTGGAGGGTTTCGTCTTTAGCTTTGGGAAGGGATTTATTGGTGGGATTTATTTGGATCTGTTCCAGTTTTTGGATGCCTCGCTTGGGCGCCAGGTGCTAAGCTGTTGTTGATGGTGGCAAGGCTTTACAGCCCTAGGGCTATCTGGCTGTCCCCGGTTGTTTATGGTGATTAAATTATCGGGGGGGCAGTCTTACACCAATTGAATGATGGTACATGTCTAATGCAGGCCGTAAACGCTCTTAATGAGCTTTTGATTACTGGTTGTGGGTTTACGTAGATGATATCTAACGATATCTACAAGCTCCTGTAAAAACCATACTCCCAGGACTAAGGATGCAGGATTTCGAGACGGATTCGGAAGAGGAGGCGGGTTGTTCCAGTGCAAGCCTTACTATGTGAGCGTATCTCGCACGCAGCGGTTCGGATGGAAACAGACTTCAAGAACGGCTTTTACAGATCTAAGCATCGATGGAATCGATGGACCACAGTTTCAGTAAGCTGGCTGATGGGAACCCAGAAAATTGGGCAAGTTCAAGGCGACGAGTCAGATGAGCACTTCGTGATCGTCACTGACCGAAGACATGCGTGGTGGGATCATGGGGGTCGAACTATCCTCACATGCTGACTGCACTTGCGAAGTCTCCAAACTCGAAGTCAGCCTGCTTTGCATGCAAGCATCCCAGCGATCAGATCAAACTCACGCACTCATTACTCACTCACTAATGAATCTGACATTTTGCACCTGAGTGTCTGCGTGAGCCGAGCGGCTGCTTCGCAGCGAGCCACGACGGAAGAAACCGCCACTTGCCGGCTGTGACTTCGTTTTCGCAACGGCCTCAACCGGGGACAAATAACGTTCATGTGAGGTGTTACAAAGCCAGACTTGAAGGTCTGCAATCCACAACACCCGTCAAACCCCGATTTTGAAGCCCTACAATCCACAAAACGGCTCTACAATCTATAAGTTTATACCCTAAACCCTAAACCCCGTAACGACAAACCCTTGCACCCTACATTTAGCCTATACCGCCTGAGCTGGGCACGGGTGTGATAGGATCTCCGACTGGCAGGCGAAGACGGGAAGTAGGGGAGGGATCCGAGACTGGCCCGGCTCCTGACGATTCGCAAAAATGTCAAAAATGGAATACAACATAACTTAGAAACATAAAAAACAGTGCCATGGAATATATACAAATAATGTGGTACAAAACGAGCGAATACAACGTCAAGTTAGACTGTTAGAGTATGGTATGTTATTGTATGGCATCCTCACTCCCTCCCTCCGTCCCCTCACTCTCTTTCACTCAAATTCCCACTGCCACACACCCCCTCCGACTCCCACTACCACCCCCACTCCACCCCCTAGTCTGTCTGTCTGTCTGTCTGTCTGTCTGTCTGTCTGTCTGTCTGTCTGTCTGTCTGTCTGTCTGTCTGTCTGTCTCTGGCTCGCTCGCTCTCTCTCTCTCTCTCTCTTTCTCTCTCTCCCTCTCCCCTTCATCTCTCTCTCTCTCTCTCTCCCCTCTCTCACTCTCTCTCTGTCTCTCTCTGTCTCTCTCTGTGTCTCTCTCTCACTCTCTCACTCACTTATTTTCAGATTGCTTAGATCTATTCACACACCTTCTCAGTCCACATAGTTTTGAAGATGCCTGTGTTCGTATGTGTGCACACATGTAGTAATTATGCATGTTTCCTAACGGAACCTGTTCGGATAGAAATTGTCGCACTAGAACATCAAGTAGCGTTTGCACTGGCAAGACAAATGATCGTGTGATTGCGCATGCACGCACAGAAAGATAACACGCACACACACACACACATTTGTTTTCTCTCTCTCTCTCTCTCTCCCTCCCTTGTTTTTTTTGTTTTTCTCTCGCTCTCTCTCTCTCTCTCTGTCGGTCTGTCTGTCTGGATGCATGTGCGCCCGCTTGCCTGTGTGTGTGTGTGTTTGTCTGGCAGACAGACAGCCCTGTCTCTCTATCTAGCCTTTCTACCTACCTACCTACCTCTGTACCTGTCTACTATCCACCTGCCTACCTGCCTGCCTGCCTACCTACCTAGCTACCTCTCTATCTATCCGTCTACCTAGCTGCCCCCACCTATCTATCTTTCTTTCTCTCTATCTATCTACCTATCTAGCTATTAACTATCTATGAATCTATCTCTGCACGTATAGATAAAGAGCGTGAGCGAGATAGACATGATATGCCATACACCCGTACATATACATATACACATGTACATACAAACCTCTTCTTGACATCCTTACAAAGCTACCCTTGAAAGGTGACATCCTGGTGGAGCTTGTCGACGAACACCTTGCGTGGAACGGCTTCAGGGGGCTGGGTGGGATCACTATACACTATAGACGTCTCATCATTAATACCTATACTACCTTCAACCTATACTATATTATATACACCCCCGTTCAGCCACGTTCTAGATATAAGGCTGCGATATTAAGACTTTGCGAAGACCTATAGAAACCCGAGTCCAATGATACCCTGGATGCCCTTCGAAGAATCCTAGGCCAGGGTTCAGGTTTTAGGGTTTCAGGTTTAGGGTTTCGAGGTTTATATGTACCGAACCCACCAAATTTACTGAAACAAATTTGCGGGGCACCGCTTTGACACAGGATGAACACTTGGGACTGCACGGATCAATCTATATGTAGTGAGCAATGCCTCCAGGTAGCTGCAGTAAGAACGGCAGCTAAGCCCCTGGAAATCCTAACCGCTGCATCACAAACTCGATGTCTTGAACCGTGAGGCCTGTCGCCGGTCGATCCCAAAGGAGAATTGGCACCAGATTCGGAACATAGCCGCCTTGCACCAGTCGGTCCTTGGACAGGACACCAGTAGCTGTAGAAACAAAGGATGAGTTTGCTGCGGGAATCTGGTTGAGAGTGTGGAAGACAAGCAAATTGGCAGAGCCTGCTATAAATGTTCTGCCAGCGAAGTTCTGCACAATGAAGACATCAATGACACTCAGCTGAGTTCCATGCAAAGGCAAGCTAAAACCATTTTGCATGCACTGAGACATTGCCCGTGGCTTTGCCGTGTTTTCCGACTCTGCGCCGCTTCGATTGTCGGCTCTCATAGGATCTATGCCGAATCCTGCTGTACTTGTTGGTTTCGGTGGCTAGCCATGCAGTGCGAAGGATCTGAAGCTGCGACAATCACTACCGGAGGGGCCAAATTTCTCAACCCGAGCTCCCAGCGACTAGACCCCTACGTACGTGTCGTACGTTACCACCGGCGTGGATTTGGAATAGATGGGTGCTTTAGCCTTCAGGGTTGAGGTTTCAAGTTTCAAGAAGCCGGCGCAGCGCACAAGCATCATAAACAGTTATCTTACCCTAACCCTCCAGGTACCTACTATTAGGGGTCGAGGGGCTCGAGTACCCTATATAGCAGGTACCTGGGGGGTTAGGGCTAAGAAGAGTATGGCTGGCCGTCTTCTCTCTCCTTGCTTCCTGGGTTCAGTGCGAACAGACAAGCGCATGAGGATTCCTTTAAGGGGTACTATGGGGCTCTATAGTAGGGATCGCCTGAAAGGGGTTAGGGGTTTAGGGTTTAGGGTTTAGGGTTTAGGTAGGGTTCTATAATAGGGCTCCTTGAAGGTCTAAGGTTGCATGTTGTTGATGTCGAGGGAGTGCAGTAAGTTGACGTGGAGAGAGCAGGCAGCAGATTAAATCGGGATAATGCAGGGGTCTAAATAATTGAAACAAGGGTTTGAGGTTATATAGGGACTGCAAGGGGGACTTTACCCTAAACACTAAACCCTAAACACTGGGGACTTCATTACCAGTTGTTGTTACTAGGTCCTAAGCCCTCCTGATGCTCGATAAAGCCGTAGACACCCTTGTACAACGAAGGCCGGCTCGGAGAAATCGCCTGAGGGAGCCCTTAAGGAATACATTTATGAATTCTTTTGAAACGACTGATTACTTTGAATATTATCATTATTTATGAGTGATTATGATTATTGTGGCCCCCGAATTAGGTGCTCAGCTTGCAAAGACTCAGCCGAATTCCTGAATCTGGAAAACTTCCAACTCAAAGCACCAGGGGGATTGCTGAGCTGCTTGGTGTGTGGCGATGTCACCTGGATGCCAAGCGCACCAAACAAAGATCTGCGGGCCGCTTTTGGGCCGCCTCCCTGGAACCCTTCCCACCGGCACTTTGGAAGTAAGCTCCGTTGAAGCATGTCCGCTTCTGCTGCCGCTGGCCTAACAAAACGCTCTAATTGAGACTAGATATCCTGAAATGCCTGGAAAGGGTACACAAAACTGGATCATATGCGTCTTGCGACTCACAGCTCTGTGGTTGTTGTTTCCGGTGCTTCCGTGGTCGTGGTAGCCGGCTGGGTGATAATCCCCACCTTCACCATGTCGACGTACGAAGTCAATGCAAGAGGACCGAGCAAACGTCGTGTGCCATGGTAGCGGGCTTTGAAGCTGTGCAAGCACTTGCTGTTGTCCCACGAAATGAAGCGCTTGGCGATCGCGTCCACCTCCTTGACAACCTTCTGGTCGTCAGCGATGTCCTTGAAGATGAGCTTGCCCAGGCTGCCACCATCAGGGGCAGACTCCAGGTAGGCGACGGCGGCTGTTCCCGGAACCTTGCCGTTCACCCTGTGGTCACGTGATCCGCATGCTCTTGCACATCGCAGCAAATGCGGGAGACTGGGACGGAAGACTTGGAGGCCTCCAGCTGCGCTGCCTCCTTGCCAGTCATTGCTTCCCGAAGACGCTTCTCCAGGATTGCACGGCGACGACGACTACCATAAACTGAGAAATCCCCTACGGGCACCAGCACCTCCACTGCGTTGGAGAGCTGTGCCTCCTGCTCTTTCGACCTCAGCTCCGACTTGAGGCGCTGTGCGAGCACTGGCGCCTCCTGACGCACTCGCTCCGACCCACTCCTCTGTGCCTCGAGGTCTGTGATCACGCCATGGGCTTCAGTGTCGGATAGGAAGTTGTCGATGACCTTGATGGAAGACAAGCACGTCAGATCCGGACTGGCAAGGGCCTGTGCCAGCAGAAGCGGTGCCAAAAGCCAGGATCCAGCCATGCTGAAGCCAGCGCGAGGGTTCCCAGTAAGGCTTCTCAAAGTCGCTCGAGCCGCAATGACTGTTCCCACTGCCTTTCGGCCCAAGGATCCGTTCTTAGGCTTCAGACTTACAGCTCCTCTAAGAGCCCGCAACTACCCTTGTTTGTAGAGCCCCATGACTTCATGTCCATATATAGATACAGAAGCGGCGTGTGCACACACACTTGGTCGTGCCTGCGACAGGTGCCTCAGGTACTCCTCCTGGATCGCCGCCACACTGCGGTCACCGTCCTGCTATAAAACTCTCACGGAGGACGCTGCAGCAGGAAGTTTAGGGTTTAGGGTTAGGGGTTCGAGGGATGTCAAGGGTTTCGGGGGTAGCATTCCTAACTTCATCTATCTTCAGAGTATGATTCAAGAGAGGCCCTGGAAAGATATAAGGATGCATACACTGCAGCAGTACACAAGCACAGGAAGAATAGTCTTGCCTCAAAGTTCACAACAAAGATGCCATTACCTGCCTTAGCAGTAGATGAGTGATGGGACAAGTAAGATTACAGTGTTATACCACAAGAGATATGTGCATGAGACGATAATATAATATGTATGTATCTATGAATATATGCATATACATACCCGCTTAAGTGCAAGGGCCTTGCGCGGCTTGCTGACAAGTCAGAAGGAAAGACTGCGGCCTAAAGGTCAGGAAACCTTAGCGTCAAGTACCCTAAACCCTAAACCCTAAACCCTAAACCCTAAACCCTATGTCCGCTGCTTAGGAGTCTGGCCTCGCTTTGTCCGGACGGTAGCAGGCCGTGGGTGAGCTGCGACTGGGCAGAGCATTCACAGCGTTTGGGCAGCTTTATCCCCACCATGGAAAAACTATGATGACGAAGACTCCGACGACATCCACGGCCTATCTCTGCGTTTGCTGCAACTGTAGCAGCGACAACGGCAATGGGTGATGGGAGCATCATGATACATATCTTCAGGATCACAAAGCTTCAGACGGTCTGATATCTCCCCATGTCTGCATCGAGCCTCATGCCGACATGCCTTGAGTCAGCCGCAAGCGTCACCCAACCTGAATCCTGCCTCATCTGCCCTAGGTTCCTCACGAACCCTTTAAGAATAAGCGCACCCTTTCTCCTAATACTCGGTTTTAATGAAGAGATCCCAGAATAAAAAGGGCAGAAGGTTACTACTAGGGAACCTAGTGCCTGAATGTTCCCGAGCATCCCATCAAACGAAAGCTCTCCCTCAGACGTGACAAGCCTACATCCTCAAGCTTCATGATGGGGCCTTAATACTTAGAATTTGGTGTATATTATAGTGTAATTATACTTATTATTGAAGCCCCTATATTAACCCTAAGCTCTACATTACATCCTACACGTAAGACCTTATTACAGACAGCAGACCCATCACGGTCAGGCCTGCAGGACGCTGGGAGCACTCGGATATGCCGGGTTCATGCTTTAAGGTATAAGGTTGACCTAAACCCCCAAAAGTAAGTGAAATAATTGCGGCTCATGCTTTTGAGGTTTGTAAGGTTTACCTAAACCCCCCCAAAAGTAGGTAAAATAGTTGCCCAAGATCCAGAAAAGGCTATTATTCTACATACTTTTGGGGTCCAGGTAAGGGGCCAAGGCCCTTCAACGTATTTCGTGTTCCGTCGCCCCTGCTACATGCAGCCTCTCGGCATTAGTTACAGCTTTGACCTCAAGCCAGAACCGATCAAAGGATCTTTCATCATTGTTCCGCTCTTGTTGCTCTAAACCAATTCTTAACATAGCCCGTAGTCGTGCTGTTTATACTAAAATCTACCCTAAAGCCCTGTGCAAACTATGAAGGCCCTTCTGGGAGTGATTGGGATGTTTCTTGCGGCTCCGGACTGTTGCTCATTGCAAGCTTGTGTCTTATCAGAGCCACTAGTTCACTAGTGTCTGCTTTACCAAAAGAAAGCATCAAGTGGCCAAGGACATGAATCTGTTCCTGGAAGGGCCTAACAGTTTCAATAGGAGTTTGCGGCATGTGATCGTGTAGACGGACTAGCACAGGAATGTTTTTCGTGTTCTTCCACTGGGTCTGCCGCCGTATGTGCAGCCAGAAATGCTGCAGCAGGCAACAGAGCACACTCAGTGGGTTATCACAGCTCCAACTCCTTAACCGCAAACCTACAAGTGCAGTTCTGTTTGTTGAGAGGTGGAGCATGATGGTGCTGCTGAATGGCTACTATGATGCCAAGAGGATGACAGTGAAGACGGGGATGATGACTACTGCCATGACTTGCATGACTATGACGCAGTTTGCTTTGCTCGACGACAGCCACATATTCTCTTGCGCAGTCGCACTAATGATAATGGTGACGACGTTGCTGGTGGCGGTGATCAATAGGTCTGTAGTATGGACGAGTAGAGTTTCGTCATCATGCCCTGCTTGTGGATGTTCTCATCATCAGCAGCAGCAGCAGCCTAAGTTATGCTAGTTTGTCGTCTGCCCGTGGCTAGTTTGTTGTGTGTCAGCGGCTAGTTTGTCGTCTAGTGGTAGCAACTGGTAGCAGAAGTACTTGCAGTCGTGAAAGTGGTAGCTGTCGTCATTGCAGAGCCGGAGTCGCAGTCATTTCAGGAGGCACAGGATCATCCTGAAATCTCGAGGAGGGGCCACCATAAACTCGTCGCCAGCACTATCGAGGTGATCCTCAAAACTACTGACTGCTACTGGGCTCCGTCGCCCCTTAATCGAGGAGTAAACCTTAAATTAAAGGGGCCTTAGTATCATGGCTCAAGGTATATTTCCTTACTTCAGGGGGTATTGGACTCTCTGGGTACAATGTAACTACAGCATAGCATCAGCTTACCCCAAATCCCAAACCCTAAACCGAGGGTCCCCCCCTGAGGTGCAATGTCGACATCTTGGCAAACCAGGTCGACGCGTGTGTCCTAAACCCTCAACCCTAAACCCTAAAGCCTAAGCCCCAAACCCAAAACCCTAAACCCTAAAACTGAACCCTAAACCCTGAAACTAAACCCTAAACCCTAAAACTAGACCCTAAACCCTAAACCCCAAAGCCCCAAAACCTCCAGAAACCAAGGAACCGGGATCCTTCCCCTAGGGCGCGTACCTGCCTTTCTGTATGGAGCCGGTCCTGAGCGCAGGATGCGGTAAGTTGGGCACTGCCCCAATACAGTAGCAGTCTATAATAGGGCGACTCTTAAGGGCCATATATATATATATATATATGGGTAGTTGTCAAAATTATGGTCCCTTTTGGGGTATCCTGAATAATAGGTGCCGTATTGTGATAAGGACCCAAAAAGGGATCATAATTTTGACAACCACCCATATATTATGTATATTATCCCAGTATCCAAGCAGCAAGCATTTGCAACTTGGCTTCTCTTAAGGTTGATGATATAAACCCTGCACTACCCATAATAAGGAATTCTACCATAATTCCCATGGCTTAGGGTCCTTAGGGTAATGCAGGATTTCGATCTTCAACAGTATGTCCCAGAATGAACGGACTGGTGCGAATCTGCGGACAGACTTGGCCTGAAAACTACTCCGAGGATGAGGCTTCAGGTCGACCTTGCTGCAGTCAACACCTCCGCCATGCAGAGCTTTCTGAGAGTGCGGTCCAGGACAATCCTTTCACCCAAAGGGTTTAGGGTTTAGGGTTTTAGGGTTTAGGGTTTCACCCATAGGGCTGTCCGAATAGCCTCCCGTCAGCATCTGCTTGGCACGCGGACCTCGTATCGCACTCGACGTGAAGTTTCTGACCAGCAGCTTCAATTGGGCCTGCCCGGCAATGGATTTTGGACGGTCCGACTTGCGACAGCTAGGTGGCGAAATGGTTCCCACAAGATGGTGGCACGATGCTACTATGTCAGGAAGAACTCGAAGCCACTGCTACGTGAAAGACACCGCAAGTGTTCAAGCTGCCTGAGATCTCCTGACATGAAAGCTCTGCAGACATACCAACCCAGGCACATACAGGTAGAACTGCTGAGCTGACAGTTCTAGTTTTTGAATAGATTTTAATGATGTGTTACTGCTAAAATACTACGTTTACAGTAATTTTACACTATGGAGATAGTACAGCGATGTTGTTCAGCATGCGACTACAGTAGGAAAGCTAAACAGAACTGTTGAGAGGCGCTCTCTTGCAAGGATCCGCGCTGAAGTTCTCGCTTGCAAGGTGCAAAAATATACGTTAACATTCACTTCTCTGTTACCTAACAATACTATGGTACTCCTACAACATGATATATGATAATGTGCGATGATATGTATATATATATATGTGTATATACACACACACACACGCTACTATGCGCATCTTGCATGGGGCTCATGTAGCCATGTATAGCAGAAAACCTTTAAACGCATGTCGTGCTGCTAAGGAAAAACAGGATCTGATTCCCAACATGCGCACGGCAATCATAATCTGGCAGTGTTCTCAACGACTGTCATATACATTGAAACAGATTGTAGAATTTGAAGAAATATACTATGATATGCAGATGGTGCCTTCTCCTCGTTTCGCACATCCTCGGGGATCTTGATGGGAAGCTCACCTGCGCAGCGCAGAAGAGTGCTTTGCTTGAGGGCTTCGACTCGGCGTCAGGGTTGGCTATTCATGATCCAGAGGTCGTGAACGAAAGAAGCTCCCAAAAGACTCAGAGCTCCGAACACGAGAGCAGCGATTTTTTCTCGCAGCTCTCGCTTGCGGCGATCGCCCATGCTCCAGGATCAGGAGCCCTGCGCAGCAAAATACATGAGATCTGGTGGCGACCGCAACTACAAGAAAAATAGCAGTAAGAACAAACACAGTGGAAAAGCAAGAGACTAATCATGGCTCTACAGGGAACGGGAACATAAAGCAAGAAGTAGTCTTTGTCACTAAGCAAGGCGTGGCAGGTCCGAAGAGCATCGCAGCCTTTTGTGGCGAGGGCTTCAGTGGAGACACGAAGCCTGCGGCAACAGGGAAAAGAAGATTCAGGGAAACACAAGAAGCACTCATACACGTGGATACTGTATACATGTACACATACGTATCTGTATATGTATATGTGTATACAATGTATATACATAAATATATATATATATATACACACACTTACATACACATACATACACGCAAACATATCAAAGTACTGTGGATCTATTCCACTGCTGCTCTGTCGGAACGGCTGCATTCTTTTCTAGTAGCAGCGGATGCATAATGCTTTCGTTGCCCGCTGTCAGCCTAAAGTTACTAAAAGCCGCAGCAACCATGCCTTGACTGTAGCTGTCGGCACTTGCGAAGCTTTCGGCGTCGTCATCCTGGCCGGAACTGGAAGTCTTTAGCTTTGGTGCTACGGTGAACCAAACAAGGCCCAAAGCCCCAGAACCAGAAGGTCCCAGAGCCAAGAGTCCCAGACTCTACCACCTTTTCCACGTTTAGGGTTTAGGGTTTAGGGTTTAGGGAGCTCTTATTTCAACCTGCAACCGTAACAAGAGATCTTCGCCCCAGTGGGCAGCCGGCCTGATCGAATATCAACACCTCGGCACATCTGCACTTGGAGGTTCATGGGTAGTTATAAATGGGGTCAGTCCCTAATATGGGTTATAAATACAGCTACCCTACTCCACGTAAGATGTACGCCGGGAAGGTATCAGGTCGTTCTCTCCTCTCTCCACCTCTCTCCGACTAACTCTGTATATGCACAGACATATATGTGCATATCCCCAACCTATCGAATACATATTCTCTGAGAGCATACTCACTGAGGATGTTGCAGATACCAGCTAGGGTGATTGGTCGGGAGGTTGAAATGCTAGTGATGATGTTCGAACTAATTCCAGTAATGCTAACAAGCAATGATAGCAGCAAGATTCTCAACAGCGAAATAAGTGATACTCATTTCAACCCGAAGATGTAAACTGAGACAGTCATACTTGTAATCATGACCATATCATTCGCCGTCGTCACCATCGCAGTGGCATCCATCCTAAAGTTTGCGTAAGATACCGGAGATCAAAACATGGTCCAACATCCGCAATGCTTATGAATGCAAGCCTGGGAAAGTGCTCTGTGAGAGCTTGACGCAGACCCTAAACCCTAAACCCTAAACCCGAGCCATTTCGACAATGACGGCAGGCTCCTAAACCCTAAACCGGATCTTGCTTCTGCGCGCATGAAGCTGAAATTTATTGTGGAGACCTCAGGCTCGGGTTAGGGTTAACCTATCGGCAAAACCCTAAACCCTAAGCTCTAAAATGCTCGAAATCCTAAACTCTAAACCCTAAACCCTAGGTTGGGAGAGAGATGTGAAAGGACACAGGCGACGCACGAAAGGCGGCTTTTTGAATGCCACTCGATGCGATGATGCTCAGCAGTAGGCAAGGCACATGCAGCTTTGGCATGGGCCATGCCTTCTAGTACCTAGTGCATCAAGAAACCCTTAAAGAAACCCTAATAGAAATCCTGATAGAAACCATTATCGAAACCCATGTCGAAATCCCTTATACGAACCCTTATAGAGACCCTTAAAGGGACCCTTCTGACATTATGCTATGAACCCAGGGATTCTGATCCTAGTCAAGGGCTTCATAGCTGCTTAGTATCTATGGTTGTGACTTATTGGGCCTAATTCTTTTGACCACGGGACTTGGTTTGCGATGTCCTATGAACGAAGGATGACTTGCTTTATGTGATGCTTTCCCGTAGCTCCGATGTTCTGTGATGTTCCTATCTCCGGGTTTCCCTAAACCTTAACCCAAACCGTACACGTCCGATCCTTGAAGAGCTACGAGCGCCATCGAAGTTCAGACACCAAAGGTCGGTGATCCGAAAGGTGGCACCTTAGCAGGGGCTATTCTTTTAATAATAATCTGTTTAGAGTTTGTACATATATATATGTATGTATACACATATAATGCGCAAATATACATATCTAAAAATATACACACATACATACATAAATCCATACATTACAAAGGTTACATAGATTACATACGTTACATACATTACATACGTAGATACATAGATACATAGATACATAGATACATACATGCATACATACATAACATATAAATAAATACATATAAATATAAGTAAAAAAATAAATATAAATAAATATATATATATATATACATAGTTAGGTATTTGTTCATACATACAAACACACCCCGTGCATGTGTGTGAACATGAACTCCTCTCAGCCGCGGACCAGTCTGCGAAAGAGGAGGGTAACTCCGGCCCTGGCCGGGGGCTCCATAGTTGTGAGTTCTTCTCGGGTTTAAAGGGATTCAGATCTGGGTTTAGGGGTTTAGGGTTTAGGGGTTTAAGGGTTTAGGGGTTTAGGGTTTAGGGGTTTAAGGGTTTAGGGGTTTAGGGATTTTGGGTTTTGGTGTCTGGAGGTATAAGAATTTGGACACGAGGACGACAATGCTCGAGCCGAGATTGGCCTGCCACCTGTGGCCACATGTTTTCACCGCATTCAGGCGAAGGATGAAAATAGGGGACCCTAATATAGTACCCTAAATAGTAGGCTCCATATTATAAGGACCCCCAATAAGGTACCCCCTATCTTCGGAAACTCCCATATACTCTTCATGGCCGACAGGTCCTCACAGTCCATTGCCCAGCTACACAGCGGTTTCTGCTCGAACGACGTGGATGGTGGCACGGATTTTGCTGTCGGTGGAGATTCTGCGGCGTAGATTTCTGCGGGGCTTTTGATGTCGTGTAGTGTCACACATATGCTTAGGAGTTGCACGGATTTTGGCGTGGATTTCGTGCGGATTTTGATAAGAGCCACTTGTAGTCTTTACCAAGTGTAACCGAAACGAAACTTCACTCGAAAATCCGCGAGGTCCAACACACAATCCACGCATCGTGTCGCCTTGGAGCGAATCAAAAATCCACGAAGCTGGACTTCAAATGGGAGTTTCCGAAAATTAGGGTATCATATTTTGGGGTCCTTATAATAGGGATCCTACTATTTGAAAACCCCAGATGAGGGTCCCCTATTTTCGGAAACCCTCAAATACAAACGGTCCGTGGCGTGGTCGTCAGCAGTGTGAAGTCCGCAGAGTAGTAAGTAGTGGCAAAACAGTGGTTGAAAGTTGAAACGATCCAGCACAAAACCCGAAGCAAGCTATCATTTTTCGACAGTGTTTTGCACACTGAAAGCAGCGAGAATATCCGACGGCTGACATCCTTGCTACATGACTGGCAGCATTACGAAAGAGACAGTCAAAGTTCTCGGGAAACCGCTGATGGTGTCAGCTCAGCATGTTTGGGACAGTCATGTTCGGCGATCATGTTACTCAATGCGCTCAGCACGCTTCTCCCCCAGTGATTGGTACATCATGTTGAGTATATGTCGTTGCACAAGACAATATTTAAAAAACAAGTTCACGAGTACGAAAGTTCACACGAAATCCACTCAGCCAAAGAGCGCCCTTGAGGTCGTTATGCTTGATTGCGGCTTAGGGTTTAGGGTTTAGGGTTTAGGGTTTTAGGGTTTCAGGGTTTAGGGTTTAGGGTTCAGGGTTTAGCTTCCGCGAAACTTTGAAGTGGCGGGGAAGACCGGCCTTCACGTGCTCTCCCCACACGTGGGCGCAGCATGGCAGTGTCGTCTGAGGTGCCCTGACGAATAGCGCTCCATATATATATATATATGTATAGAGAGAGAGAGAGAGATAGTTCTCTAAACTTAGGGCCCCATTAAGGTCCCCGAAATAGCACGGCACCGGTTTGACAAGAATCCTAAAAGGAACCCTAATTTAGAGAACTACCCCTGTGATGG